TCCCCCCCCCCCCATGCCCAGAGCAGACCCACGTGAAGCAGCTAGCTGACTGAGACTTCAGCAGAGAGACAGACAGCCTGCCTCAGATTCCTGCAGGGCTGCTGGCTGGGAGCCACCTAGGTAAGTGCCTCCCAGCCAGAGCCTGCCTCTGGCACCTCACCCCCTTTTTCACCCCAACTATCTGCCCCAGACCACCACCCAAACCTTCTGGACCCCTTTCCTCCCTTCTCCCAGGTCACAACTTGCTCCCAGATCCTTCAGCAGAGAGACAGACAGCCTGCCTCAGATTCCTGCAGGGCTGCTGGCTGGGAGCCACCTAGGTAAGTGCCTCCCAGCCAGAGCCTGCCTCTGGCACCTCACCCCCTTTTTCACCCCAACTATCTGCCCCAGACCACCACCCAAACCTTCTGGACCCCTTTCCTCCCTTCTCCCAGGTCACAACTTGCTCCCAGATCCTGTACCCCCCTCTCCTCTCCTACATCCTTACCCCTTCCCTGACCCTGCACCCCATTCCCCTGCCCAGGTCACAACCCAATCCCTCTGCACCCCCTTCTTCTGGGTAACAACCCCCCCCCAACCCTGCACCCACTCCTAGAGCACATCCCCCAAGCCAGAATTCTCTCCTGTACTCTTACCTCTCCTGAACACTGCAACACGAGCCCCTGCCTCAGATCACTAGTCCCTCCTTCACCCAAACTCCCTCTCAGACCCCACATCCCGTACATAAGTGTGGCCCTTGATCGCTTGCCAAAATTTTGGAATGACCTCCCATTAAAAATGATTGTCCACCCCTGACCTAACATGATTGGGCCAGATATAACTAATAGTTTATTTTTACTAATAGAACTTGGGAATTTTAATATAATGCACTTGAACCTTACAGTTGTTCTTCCAGTCAGATGAGCATATTGCCTCTGCATTGTGTTTTTGCCCAGTGTTGTCATTTCTCATGCTGGATATGGGAGATGTTCATTTTTAATGTTGGAATATTCCAATATATAGTTCCACTAACAGGAAAAAAGTTTATCCTTATAAGATAAACTTTATTTTTTATTTCATTTATTTTATTTCATGTTCTAGTGCTTTATAATGCTTGTTTGTGCCCCAGCATGGGTGCCCATGTGGAAATTTGGCTCTTAAGAAGAAGTTTATAAACACTGTAAAAATATTTCAAAGTACCCTTTTCCCTCTGTTCCTGACTTACATTTTGTAAAAAAAAGATACTGTGGTGTTTATCAGCATCTAAATATATATCACATAATTTACTGCAAGATTAAAAAACATAGTCCTGCAAGATTAAAACAAAACTAAAAAAATCATTATTGAAATTCACCTTTTAATAATACAGTATCCCTGGGAGGCCCAGCATATTAAACCTACCTTTATGAACGTTTCTAGAAGTTAGACTGTTCTGAAAGATGTTATGTGGGACAGATCATTGGGCCCTATTTTACATGCTTTCAGAGCAACGGATTAATTGCTTTTTTGCAGATTTTTTGTAAACTGAAGTCAAATGAAAAGTAGTGCATGAATTCTGCCACTCTTGCTTACCATGAATACAACTATGCTCAGTGATTTCAATCAATCTGGATACGGCGTAAGATATTACCAGTATGGCTAAGAGTGTCAGAATCAGGCCATAGAAAATAACAGACTAGTCTGTTTTCTGCAGCTGAGGATCTGTAGTTGCTGTTCCTTGATTTTCTGCCTTTCTCCACCTCAGGTGTTAGTGGCTTGCAAGGGATTGTCTGCCAGCTGTGGGGCCAGCTGGAGTTCATCCCCAATGCATCTTCTGTGCTTAGGGCAGCAGGGACTGGCTACGGTAGACAAGCCCTATGCCATCTGAGGGTCCTTACGCAAAGTTAATTCCCTGTTTCAGATCCGTGGGTAGTTTTCTTTCCTGTTGCACTGCCTAAAGGGCACAAAAGGAGAGGAACAAGTCAATGAATCTAGCACAGTATCACTACAAAATGTTACCAAGATTAACTCTGCTCCATAAAAACCATTAGTATAGTATACACACAGTAATGTGGTGCAGGACCACATAGTGCTGTGGTAATCAGCGAATAGGGTTCCATCCATTCCAAAGCTATACAACTAAAAGGAAAATCTGATACGATATAAAACAAAATTTTTCTACATGGGGCCAAATTTTCTAAAGTAGGGATCTAAATTGCCTCTGTGAAAAATGCAAATGTCAGTTTGCATGCAGAAAATAGCATTTATTCATACAAAAAGAAGAATTGCATGTATCCAGTAAGTACATATGTGGACACAAATCTCAATATGCACAGATACAAATTGTGTCTGTATATCTGAAATGAAAGAAGCTTAGCGTTTCACTGACTACCCACATAAAATTATTATTTAACATAATAGGTATACTTACAGATCTGTTAAATGCATAGTCACTTCTATCTCATTATAGATTTATGCAAACTGTGAATCTCCTGAGACTGTCCCAGATTGGCGAGGTGAACTCCTGCATGCTGTTCAGCAAGTATTTCTAACAGAACAAGATGTTCTTCTAGCAGCATTTCAAACAGAACTTGCAGAGCTAGGTACGAAGGATGCAGTGGTATTGATGAACCAATTAGAGCACAGACTTCAAGAACAGGTGATGCAAAATACTAGTTGAGTTCAAAGTATATTTATGTATATGTTAAATTTTAATCTTTGATGTACAAATAAAGTAGGAAAGCATTACAGACCAACAGTTTCCTTTATTAAGTGTTGCATTAATTGCCGATTATTGGAAAAATACTTTAATTATTATAAGGACTGTAGCTACTTGGCAATATGGAAGTAAAATTATCATATACTTCTATAGAACGTTTAAGAAGTTTGTTGCTTAGATATGACTTTCTGGAGTTTTACTTTTAAATGTGTAACACTAACAGGTTATTAACCAAAGAGTGGCTATGGATTTCATTCAGAATGCAGATAGAAGAAGTTTGCTAATGGAAATTCAAGTACTGCATGCTCAGATGAACAATAGAAAAATTAATCCAAAGAGAGAACAAGAGATTGATCCAAAAAGTCAAGGTACTTTATGTTGTAATATTGTATGCATTAGGTATCTTAATTTGCAATTAATTAGCTAATCGAGAAGTTGGTGGAATTTCTATTGATTACTTGATTCAATGGTAAAGGGGAATGTTCACTACCCTCCGCTGTCACTCTGCAGTTTAAATGTAGTAGGAACCAGGCATGCAGGCAGCCCACCGAGCTTTTACTACATTTAAAATGCAGAGCGGCAGCGGGTTAACTCCTGGGGCCGGCGCAAGCTGCGCCTGAAAAGTCCCAGCACGAGCTGGCTTTGGGACCACTGTGGCTCTACCTCCTCTCTCCCCGCATAGGTTTATCAAGTAGTCAACTAGTCAACTACTCCCTTAAATCCCTAGTATGCATATATACCTGTGCATGTGTGTTTTAAAAATATGCTTGAAAATGAAGTATAGGTATATTTCATTCTGCATTGCCATTTTCAGGATTCCAAACTTTCAATTTTATCTGACCAATATACCTTTTGAAATTAAATTAACCTTTCTGTTTACAAACTCTTACCACTATCTAATTTAAAGAGATGCGGAATGATTTTGAAAATGAACCCAAATTTTGCATCTTCAGGATTTTTTCTAAGCCTGTACTTTAGTTGTTTAGCTCTAAGAGCTTTAAGAATATCTCTTTAAGATGGGTAGTCATTGATAATTATTCAGATTGTCATGTACAGACATGACAGAGACAAATGTTCAAAGACTAGATGTAGTACTATTATTTTTCTGTGCTGCATGACAAATACGTTTTCTATATTTCACTGTATTGTGTGATACCAGAAAGTGTAGTTTCTCTAATTTTATTATCAATAATATGAGTCTTTTTATGTATTTCCAGAGAATGCATATATTTATATGTAGCTATAATTCTTGAAATGTTAATGGACTACAATCATTTTATTGAGCCCCTTTTCAAGGACAGTAACTGGACACTGTTTAGGTCTTGCAAGCTTAAAGGCATGTGGGAGTCAAAATTGAATATAAGAATTTGAAATAACTGTGCATCCAATCCTTCTAAACAAATATTTGTTTTAAGTGATCTTCACAAAGATTAAAATTCACTCTTATACACAGGGCTTGCACAGGGCCTAGACATCATTTTGAAAGCTTATGTGGAGCAAAAGTAATTGTAATGGTTCTATGCACGGGGCAAATTTTAGCCCAAAGAAGTAAAATTATTTTTAGAATGTGGCTTGGGTAAGTTCCATATTAATGTTGTTATCTCTAGAAATGCTGGAGTACAACATGGAGCAGAAGCAGTCTCAGATACTGGAGATGCAAGTGGAACTCCGTAGCATGAAGGACAGAGCGGCTGAACTTCAAGAACAGCTGAATTCTGAGAGAATTATGGTTTCAGAACTGAAGAATGAACGTGCCCGAGCTAAACTAGAACTTGAAACAACTCTTAAAGCCCAGCACAAGCACTTAAAAGACTTAGAGACTATCAGGTATGGCTTTCAGTAGCTGACCTTTCTTGCATTAGAGTTGTACATGTTTGTTCTTGTATTGCCATTTATTACCATATTAATTTTATTAAGTAAATTGTTACTATTAGCATTTAAGATTGCTGTAAAAACATGCATCTGACGAAGTGGGTCTTTGCCCACGAAAGCTTATGCTCCTACACTTCAGTTAGTCTATAAGGTGCCACAGGACTCCTTGTCGCTTTTGTAAAAACATTGTTCTGGAAAAAATAGCCCATTTTTCCAATTGTGAGCCTATGGAAACAAGGAAAGCTTTGGTTTTTAAGCTTTACTTGTAGTTTACTCTGAAATATTTTCCCAATCCAAAGAGAGATATTTGAGATTTCTGTACTTACTTTCAACCAATATATACAAAACTGTAAATATTTTATTAACTTTTTGACACAGTGGCAAGAAAAAACAGTTTATGTTGAGATTGACATGAAAGAAAGATATGAATAGTTTGTGGTAAATGTTATGTTCAGTTCTATGTAGCTTATGTGAATCACTCTTCCTTGTGGCTCAGCTGCAGAGATGACAGGGTTAGAGAATTTGAAATCCTGCTCAGGAAATAAATTTCACAGTTTCCCTTTACTAACTTTGCAAATGTGCCTCTTAAACATAAGAACATAACTGTGAAGAGTAGGACTTTTAACATGGTTCAAAAAGAGCTAGATAGATTCATGGAGGTTAGGTTCATCAATGGCTATTAGCCAAGATGGGTAGGAATGTTTGGCTCTGTTTGTCTGGAAATGGATGACAGGAGAGGGATCACGTGATGATTACCTGTTGTGTTCCCTCCCTTTGGGACATCTGGTATTGGCCACTGTTGGCAGTCAGGATACTGGGCCAGATAGACTTTTGATATGGCCATTCTTATGTTCTTAAAAAGGGTACTTTTGTTGTCCTTACATATACCTACGCCTCTGTAAACTCCATTCCAATTCATCTGATGAAGTGCATTTTACCCACAAAAGCTTATGTCCTAATAAATCTGTTAATCTTTAAGGTGCTATGGAACTCCTAGTTGTTTTTGCATATACAGAGAAACATGGCTACCCCTCTGAGACTGATTTAAAAAGCAGTTCTCTGTGTTAATGTTAAATTCTGTTTTCCTCATGTAGTTTGTGGATTTTTGATAAAACAATAATCCTAAAGATAGCCTATGTGTCTTTGTTAGGACTGAGGTTAAAGAAAAAGCAGCAGAACTAGATAAGTTAAAAGATACAATGGCAAATGAACAGAAAAAATCAAGAGAGCTTCAGTGGGCTTTGGAAAAGGAAAAAGCTAAAATGGAACGCAGTGAAGAAAGAGGACGAGAAGAACTTGAGGTACCATATCTTTGTTCTCAAATTATCCTTAACATTAAAAAAAGTACTGTGCAATATATGGGATAGATTCTCCCCTCTGCTGCTGCAGTATAATCACTGAAGTTGGAAGAGGCTATTCTAGAATCTTTCCCATACAAGCAGCGAGGCAGAAAGGATCTGATCCAAAGTCCATTGACATTACTGGAAGTGTTTATTGGATTTCTGGCTTATTTTATCACGCCCGTGGTTTTTAAGATATCAGTAGGAAAGGAGCCACCCATATTATGCCATTTGCTCAAAGAGATGTGTTGGCTGACAAGGCAACAGCTGCAGCTCCCGCATATGGTTGCCAGGTATCCAGTTTTCAGCTAGAACTCTGGTTGAAAAGGGACCCTAGCAGCTCCAGTCGCCCCAACTGACTAGACTGCTAAAAGTCTTGTTGGTAGCAGCAGCTGGTTCCGCATGACTCCTGGAAGCAGCTGGCATGTCCTTCCAGCTCTTAGATCAGGCCTGGGCAAAATACGGCCCATGGGCCTGATCTGGCCCTCCAAGCCACTGGATCCAGCTTGCAGACGCTGCGGGGAGTCCTGGGCTGGCTCCCCGTTTGCCTCGCCCCGCCCACACGCTGCTCAGAAATGTGACTGCAGGGCGGTTTCACTTTAAAAAGTGAGCTTGGAGGGAGAAGCTTTAGGAGCTGTTCCCAGCCCCAGCACAATCCTATTGGCTAGCTTCTGGCCAATGGGAGCTGCCTGTTTCAATAATGGAGCACAAGGGGCTCCTAGTTATTCACAGAGCACATGGCTGAAGCCTGTGCAGGGGACAGGACAGGCAGGGAGGCTGATTCAGGAACAGGCTGCTGGTTGGTAAGTCTCCTGGCCGGAGGCTGCCTCTGGCACCCCAGCTTCTTCCTTCTCTAGCACTCTGCCCCCCAAATCCTCTGCCCCCCTCCTGAACCCATATCTCCTCCTGGATCCAGCACCCCAATTCACTGCCCCAGATCACAGTCCCCTCCTGCCCTAGCTCACAACCCAATTCCCTGCACCCCCTCTTAAACCCCAATTCCTTGCCCTAGGTCACAATCCAACCTCTGCACCGTACTTCAGTGCCCCAGGTCACAACTGTTCCCTTCTGCACCTAACCTCTATTCCAGACCCCGCACCGTCTCCATTAATATCATGAAAGATTGTGGCTCTCAACCACTTTCCAAACTCTTGGAGTGGTCCCCCATCAAAAATTATTTCCCACTCCTGTCTTAGGTGTAGGGACGGCTGGGGGACTTTACACAGTGCCCCTCCCCATAACTCAGGCACTGCCCTGAGCACTGGCTCCACTGATCCCATTGGGTGGTACCTGCAGCCAAGGGCAGCACATGGAGCTCCATAGCCACTTTTGCACTTAGGAACCAAAAGGACACTTCCAGGAGCCGCCTGAAGTAAGCTCTGCCTGGAGCCTGCACCTCCTATCCCCTCCAACACCATAAACCCCTGACCAAGCCCTGAGTGTTCTTACACACCTGACTTTACCCCTACCTCCAGCCCTGAGCCCCCTTCTGCACCCTAACCCCTCATTTCTGGCCCCACGCAGGAGCCCACACTCATAGCCCATACCCTGTGTCACACCTCAACTTCTGGCTCCAACACAAAACCTCCTCCCATACTCTGAACCCTCATCCCCACCCCACAACCTGGAGTCCTCTCCTCCACCCAAAACACCTCATCTCCAGCCCCATTCCAGAGCCCACACTCCCCCACACACACCCCAAATCTCTGCCCCAAATTGAGAGGGTGGGAGAGAGCAAGCAATGGCGAGGGATATGGAATGAGTAGGAGGCAGGACCACAGAGAGAGGTCAGGTCAAGAGTGTTCAGTTTTGTGCACTCAGAAAGTTGGCATCCCTCCTGCCACATCTGCCTAGAATGTTCACTGCACATGCGCGCACACACGCACGCACAGACACATACCGGGCCTACCATATGGCTTCCTAACCTAACTAGCTCCTGCAGCAGAGAATACATTTCCCAGCATCCCTGTTGTCTCTCAATGCACTGGGTATGGCAGAATTCAGCCCTCTGTATTATTTAACATTTGCTTTGTAATCAAAATATCAGGCCAAAATAAGAATCACTTTCATAATGTTTACAAAACCAGTGACAAAGTTTTAGTGATATGACATTTAAAATATTGTAAATCTTAAAAGAAATGTGTCTAAATAAAATGTTCATGTTATCCCTATGGCCCCCTGTTGTGACAAGTAGACAGTTATGCATACCTGACATGAAAATCTGCCTTCACCGTTTAGGAAGTAAAAGTAACTAGCTATATATATAGCCAGGGTTTTCACACTGAAGGGTGTGGTAATCTTAAGAAAACTATAGGCTATTGTAGGCATTGTTTGTCTTAAATTGGTTAAAAATTCATTCTCTCATACATTTAAAAACAAACAAATCTGATTCATGGTGCTAAAGCAAATTGTCTTCATTTAAATACTTAGCAAAATGACATATTTTAAATGCATATAACTGAGCATTTTCTTTTATTTTCTTATGTGAAAGGATTTGAAATTTTCTCTTGAGGATCAAAACCAAAAGAATTTACAATTAAATAGACTTTTGGAACAAGAGAAACAGCTGTCCAATGAACTGCAACAGAAAATTGAATCCCAGGAAGTTCTGAATGCAGCCCAGCTGTCACAAGAACAAGCCCGTAGTTCTGAGCTTCAGGTGCTCCTTGAATCAGAGAAAGTTCGAGTTCTCGAAATGAGTAGTGCCCTGGAAAGGGAGAAAGAACTGTGTGCTCAGCTTCAGCGTGTTGAAGATAAGGGGCAAGATGGCACACCCAGAACTGAAGAGTTACTTAAAGATTTACAAAAACAAATGGATGAAAAACATGACCGTATAGTGGAGCTAGTCAGTGAGATGGAAAGGTATAAACTGGAGTCTGTGCAATTGAAGCAACAGATGGAAAAGGAGAGGCAGATTCAGAAGAAGACAATACAGACAGAACAGGATGCTGCCATATTAGCACAGAAGAAAGTACATGAACTTGAGTCCAAAGTGGAAGATCTTCATGGGCAGCTTGAAGAGAAGAGACAACAGGTTCATAAACTACAACATGAGGCAAGGAAGTTACAGGAAATAATACAGGAGCTACAGAAAAGAGAACAGAAAAGAGAGGAAAAAGATGCTGAAAAAGCAATGTGCCCGAATCTCAATGAGGTACAGTAGCGCTTAGAAGAATGTGTAACACTGAGATGAATTCTAAAGGTGCCACTATGCTCTGAAATCTCTAGTTTGATTAGATGGGCAGTAAAATTGAGAAGCAACGTCATTGGATTCATTTGCCACTTTTAACTCACACTTTGAGAGTCTGTTTGCTAAAGCCTGGCTGCTGGTGCACAGTATGGCTACCAAAACCATGAACAGGAGCATTAGACCACTCTAATTTTGCCTTCTCCAGAAAGCTCTAGACACACCCCTCCATATATCACATGCAATTGAAATCACTGAGGGAGGTAACTGAGTGGCACCTGGAGAAGTAAGCAAAGCCTGAATGTAGGTCCACATACATATATACATTGTCAAGCAGACCATGCACGAGTCCCAGCACCCCACCTGTTCAACAAATTATTCCTATTCAGTAGGAATACAGTGCCCACCGAAAACACCATTTTTTCATGATGTATGTGGGCAATTTTTTTGGAAGAGGTGGATAACCCCACATAAAATAAAATGTTTGCCCTGTGTTTAGGAGTGTGTGTGGGAAATATCACACATGTTCTAAAAGTGAGGAAGAACGGACAAAATCTCTGTGTTGATGTGACACCAACAGGTGGAACTGAACCTGGGACCTCTGGTGCATGAGTGTCTATAACTTGAGTGATCAAGCCAGCTAGCTCTTAGTTAAGGCTGTAGAGCAAATGCATTCTTATCTTTCTGTAAGTGGTCTAAGTGTCACTATGTGGGACAACTTAAAAAACAATGAATGGTCCTGCAGCACCTTAGGGTATGTCTGTATTGCAGGCTAAAGTTAACTTAAGCTACGCAAGGTCAGCTATGTTAATTGTGTAGCTGAAGTCAAAGTAGCTTAACTCAGCTTTTGGCACTGTATACACAGCAGGAAGTTAACTTCCCTTACTTCTCGTGTAATGAGGGTTACAGAAGTCCGAGTAAGAAGCCCATTATTTCTCAATTATTTTGAAATAATGTGCTTGCTGTTTAGATGCGCACTCTGTTATTTCAAAATAAGCGTGCAGTGTAGACATAGCCTTAAAGACTAACAAAAATGTAGATATCATGAGCTTTCATGGGCACAACCCACTTCTTCAGATGAATAGAGTTTAAGGGATCCAGGTTCCAAATAAATAGCAGAAAAAAAAGGTAGATGGGGACGGAAAGCCCAACCTGTGCTAAATGAGACTAATAGAGTGGGCTGTGAAGCTTTTATAAGTGTCTGATACTTAGCTTTTGATGTCATTTGGGTGTTGAATATAACTGCCTAGCCAGTTCATGGCTTTGTTCAATCCTTGCTTATGTGGGACAGTGAACGACACCCAGGAGGTATGAGGATTACCCTGACACCCACCACATATAACCTCATTCATGTAAACAGGGTTGCACTGGGTATAATTCAGTGTAGAATTTGATACAACATGCACTTAATTGTCTGTAATTTGACCTAGAACTGGTTACATTTTACAGTGTTTTTCCACTGAAATACACGTACCATTTACACTTTTATATATACATATGCAGACTAGTTGGGATACATCCAATGAGAGAACAAGAAATTGGGTTCTACAGCAGAAAATGGAAGGAGCTGAAATGAATGAATCAACCTATCCCACACTGACTGAAGTGAAAGGAGAAGGTGATCTAGGTGATGGAAGTAAAATTCTGGAGACTGTCAGACAGAAGCTCCAAAATGTATCTTCAAAGCTGAAACAGTTGGCACACAAAGCCGCCAGCAGGTTAGATGCATCTTCAGCTACATGTTTTTGCTTGTATAAGTTGTACCTTCCTGGACCAGCACCCTCAGGACCTGACAACCAGTCCTGAACCAGGGAATTTGCCAGACCAGAGGAGGCTCCTGCCCCCTCTGCTGCTGCTAGCTGAAGAGCCCTTCCCAACTCTCCCCACTGGCTACAGGGCTCCACAGCCACCCTGCCTCCTCCCCAGAGCACCCCCACCAATCCCACACTTGGTCAATGCCAGCCGCTCTGATGCTACCAGCTGTGGGGCTGCATCACTGGTCCCTGCCATGGGGCTCCATGGCCATCCTACCTCTTCCTCTGAGTGTTCCTTCCATCCTGGTCCTCCATCTCTGTCCCCTGGTCCTCTGCCTCCGTCCCCTGGTCCTCCGCCTCCGTCCCCTGGTCCTCCCCCTCTATCCCTGGACTTGAGTGCCACAAATGGTGGTCCAGGAGCTAGGTCCAGGAGCTAGGAGGGGGTGGGGGAGGAGTTGCTGAATGTGGGGCCCAGATTTTCCCTGTTAGTGCTCCAGCCCAGAATCAGCCACTGGGATTGCAAACCAGAGATGTTGCGGATGATGGAAGTCCAAACTATAGAGGTCCAACCAGTAGCAGAGAACTAATTGTAATATCTTGACACTTGAATCAGAATTTCATTCTTGTGCTAATCTAGTTGTTTGTGGTGTAACTTTAGGCAAATTACACCAGCACGAAACTGGATCCCAAAGTAGTGAATACAGCCCTAAATATTAACAATTCTTGTAATCTATTATTAATTCAGGCAAAAAAAGTTGGCTTTTTGTGCAAGGATGGGGGGAAAGTTACTTGAGCTTGATGTACATGGAAAACCCCTACAAGAATTTAGTAATTATTTTATTCAGTAATGCTTTGAACAGTGATATAATGAAAAAAGGCTTGGCATAGATCCTGTAAATAGTGAATTATAAATTGTGCAAAATACTCATTCAGATTGACATTCTGCACCTTCTTTTATTGGCTGCTACCATGTAAAAGGGAACTTAATTTCTGCCACTTGCTTCGTGAAAGCCCAGTGTGAATCAGTTTTTGATTCTGTTGTTACACTGACTTAACAGAAATTAATGTGAAGTGCAATACTTTGAACATATTCTGTGCTTCTGAAAATGTCTCAAATACAATTGGTCACAATGGTTTAAGAATTTAGTCCAAAAGCCCAAATGTTTTCAGCGCTGTGAAACTCCCCTTCCAAACAACAGTAGCTGCTTAGTGCCAAGTACGCTTTAAACTCTGGCCAGTTTAAGTTAGATGCTTAAATGGGAACCCTTTGGAATCTGGCCATTTTTCAGGTAAAGACACTCCTAGTCCAAAAGAGTTTGATAACATTCCATAGGGCATGTATTTATGATAAGTGTCTACAGAAAAACAAATACATTGTTTGCTAAAAAAGTTCAAGAACCAGAAAAATACAGTTATACTTTGTGCAAATTGGATTCATCATAGCGATGTCTCCTTTTGAAATTACAATCACTTTCCTTATTCCTTCAGAAATGCAGAAATCTAGTGCTTTATAAAACTGAGTACTTCACCTTAGTTATGTTGTATTATGCTGCATACACTATAAATACTTGCTATTTTCATTTCAGGTTACAGTTTGAAACAGCAGATGATGACAACTTTATTGGGGTACAGAACAATATTGAAGATGCTCTTTTATTGTTGGGAACATTACCTGGATTGTCCCAGTTAGAAGAGGTAAGAACATATAATCACTTTTGGTAAACTTATTCAGTGAAAAATCAACTCTAGACTCTGCTTATTTAACATAGACAAAGAGTGCTGTAAATCCTTTCCTTTTTACCTATTTTGACAGGGAGTTACAATTTGACGTATATTTCACATTTCCTAGCATTTTCTTTAGGAAAAATACTCAAAATTACTTAAAGTAACTTATATAGCAGCAAGCTACTGTAGAAAAACTCTAGTCATTATTTCTTGGGTGTGAACAATCGGTGTTTAATATTTACTATATCAGGCTGTTACGACACATAAACTATGTTGTCTTTACCAAGAGAAATGTGTCAGGAAAGCATGCATGTGATTTGTGAATGTTCAAACCATGAAATGAGGCAAGCTGGCACAAAGAACAATAACTGGGCAATATTTGGTTCTTTACCAGCTCTGCCAGTGATGGGGGGAGGGTGCACAAAGGGGGCAGTTGCTATTCAAAAGTGCCTGAGGTTCATGACTGCTGCCACCTCTATTCCAGTGGCAGCTGGAACCCTGGGCTCTTTAAATCTCAACCAGAGCACTGCATTCCATGCTCCAGATGACTCTGAGAGCTGGCGAAGAGGAGGTCCTTCCAGGAGTTTGGAGCTCCTCCACCTTGCCCAGGGGCCTGGCAAGTCTGTTAGCCCCCATTCTTGACTGAGTTCAACCATAAAGCCAACATCGGTGTGAAGCATCTATTTTAAAAATAGCTCAGAATTACTGCTCTTTGAATTTTTAGAAATAAACGTGAACATAATACAAATAAACATTTCACATTATTATAATTAAATTAGTTTGTGTTGAAATGTTCTGGTATAATATGCAGTGTGTAACATACAATAAAAAGTCACTGTACCTGTGTATTAACTCACCTATTGTTTAGATTAATAATATACTTTTTAGATTTTTCAAAGTAACAAAGCACTGCTGTCATCCTCAAAAAATGTAATCTATAATAGGGTAGGCATCATAGCAATTTGATTTCATGCAAGATTTTTTCTTTCTAGGTGAAGTTAGTGTTGCCCCCTGGGATCCCCTCTAGCTCACTAACTGAAGGACTGTTGAGACAAAATGCAGAACTGTTAGGGCTTGTCAGCAGACTAAGTGAGGAAAAGAACAATATGAGGAATGGGGTCATGAAACTGGAAGAGGAACTCAGAAGATACCGACAGAGAGGACCTTGTGGAGACAATGTATGTATCTTCTTTAGGCATTACCATAAACAAATGTTTATAAATTCAAAAGTACCTCCCTGTTTTCACATCTGAAAAGTGAAAACATGGGACAGGACTGGGGATGTAATAGTGTAGTCAATTAACCGATAAGCAAAAAGCGTATAGGTTAAAGCTATACACTACACGCATTTCCCTCTCCCTGCCAGTACATTTTTAACAGGTTGGCCAGCAGCCCGGCTCAGTTCTGGCTTACAATGGATCTGGGACCTACCGCTGCTGCAGCTCTGCATTTAAAGTGTATTAGGAGCAGAGCGGGCAGGCAATCCGGCTCAGTCCTGGCTCACACTGGGTCTGGGATTTACCCCCGTTTCAGCTCTGCATTTCAAGTGTATTAACAGCCAGGCAGGCAGGCTCAATTCTGGCTTGCACCGGGTCATGAGGTTACTCAACTATTCAGTTAATGGATATTTAACATCCCTAGGCAGGACATACAAAAGTCCTTTTCTGTACTCAGTGGGCTGGCAGTCTAAGAGGAGGGGATGAGGAGTGATCAATTTTTTTCTACCTTTTTTTCCCTTCTTCTTACTTCCCCCACCTCCACTCCCAGCAAGAAGATGTGAATTGTTGCTTTTCCTGCCCTCTAACTGTCTGTGATTAGGGTGCTACGGTAAGCTCTCTTTTCCCCATAGAGAGGCACTTCGTATTTTCATCCACCTTTGCACAGTTCACTGCCATTTCTCCTGTTAGTCCCTTATAGCTCTTCAGCTGGGTTATATCCCATCATCCACCTTAGGAGCTAACAGATTCAAGGTGTTTAAGACTATAAAGCTACTATAAACCAGCTGTTTGTGCTTGTTCTTGGGACAAATGCAATGAGTATACTTTTCCTTGGAAGCTAATACCATCATCTCACAGTGCTCCCGGTTCCCTATTATCTTAAAGTGTGAGAGCCCAAGATTCTCCTCAGACCACTCTAGTAACGTGATGAGCACACTACAGAATCAATGGAAAAAATGACATAAGAAAATGTGTTGTTAAAAATAGGGTTTGGTCCCTCTCCAGTCTTCTAGATGCTCACTGGACGATGGAGCTAATATCGATACACTCAGTGCCTCTGAGAGAGAGATTTGGAACAGAGAAAAGCTGTTGCTACAGAAATCTTTGAAACAAGCTGATGCAGAGCTGTCCAAACTGAGAGCAGAACTAAGGAGTGAAGCTTTCCTGAGAGATTTGGGATCAAATTCTGAAAACGCTGTTTTAAAGGTAAGAAGTTTGTAACTAACTGCACTGTTTGAGCACAGTGGGCTGCCTTGTTTAGAATTGAGCATATTTTTCATTGCCTTTACCATTGTTCTCATCAGACTAACTGGGGAACATCATTATGATTCAGTTTTAAGAGGATTGGTCTTAGAGACACAGAACTCCATTATAACTTGCCATGGGGCAAGACACACAAATACACCTGCCCCTCTTCTGTAAGTTACGTATTTTATTGCATCTCAAAGCAGCCCTGCATTATGGAGCTGGTATTCAAAGACCATTAGCATTTAGTGCAGGCTCCTCCATGGCAACAAAAGGTGAATAATCACAGATTAACTTTAGCAGTAATGATGTCAAAATTCTTGGAATTGTAACAGTCCTCTGAATGCTTTACTTACTGTGCTCTCTTTGTTTCTTGTCATCTAGATAATTTATGGAAAATTCCTGAGAGCAGAGAGCTTTCGGAAAGCTCTCATATATCAGAAAAAATACTTACTGCTCTTAGTAGGTGGATTCCAGGAATGTGAAGAAGCCACCCTGGCCCTCATTGCAAGAATGGGTGGGCAGCCTTCATATGCCGACCTAGAAATTATTACACATCGTTCAAAGGGTTTTACCAGATTTCGCTCTCTGGTCAGAGTGTCCATTGCAATTTCAAGGTAAATCACAGAAAGTTACAGATTAACCGAACGTGAACATGCAGTTTAGCATATGATTTATTTAGGTCCTAATTATTTGCATTATTGCAAAAATTACAAATCCCACAATATTGGCCCGGGAGGTTTTTTGCCTTCCTCTGTAGCATGGGGCACAGGTCACTAGCCGAAGGATTCTCTGCATCTTGGGGTCTTTGAACCATCGTTTCAAGGACTTTAATATCTGAGATATAGGTGAGAGGATTATTCTAGCAGTGGGTGGGTGAGATTCTGTGGCCTGCATTGTGCAGGGGGTCAGACTAGATGATCAGAATGGTCCCTTCTGACCTTAAAGTCTATGAGTCTATAATATTAGCTTCTACTGCAATTTTGATGCTAAATTCAGATTTATAACCCCAATCCCTCCCTTGTGCCTGGGGCCCCATCCCTCACCTCCCACCCACTTTTGCCCCCCTCCACTTACCCCTTCTCTCTTGTAGGAGCCCAAAGCACCTCCACCACAGCCCCGACACCAGCATGCCAGGTGGCACAGCCTCTGCACTGGGTAACACAGCTGCAGCACCCCTCCCCCCCCAGTCCTGATGCTCTGAGCAGCCAGACATACTCTCAGTCCTGGTGCTCTGAGCAGCATGGCTGCAGCGCCCCCAGCCAAGGTTCCCTCTAAGCAGCATGGTAGCACATCCCCTCCCTACCACTGCTCTGTCCTCAGCAGGCAGCTGCTGCTGTCCCTGAGAGAGAATTACCTCTCCCCCAGCCAGGCAGCTCTGTGGGCAGAGCCCTGAGCCCCTGGCTGGTCAGAGTTCATTAAGCAGCTGCTTAATTAAGCAATCACACAGCTTAGAGCTGTGGTCAACAACCGGTCGATCGCGAGGCCTCAACCAGTCGATTCTACCACTGCTCTGTCCTCAGCAGGCAGCTGCTGCTGTCCCTGAGAGAGAATTACCTCTCCCCCAGCCAGGCAGCTCTGTGGGCAGAGCCCTGAGCCCCTGGCTGGTCAGAGTTCATTAAGCAGCTGCTTAATTAAGCAATCACACAGCTTAGAGCTGTGGTCAACAACCGGTCGATCGCGAGGCCTCAACCAGTCGATTGCGAGGCATTC